AATTGCCTTGTTTTATCCTAAAGAACCCAGGGTTTGCGGGAACAATTCTCAGGACTCTCATTGTCCTTGGGAAGTAATGAGCTCTAGTACTTCTCAGTGTTTAACTTTGGAGGACAGTTATGCACGGCCTGTCAAATTATCAGATTACTTCCCTCATTGTTAGCAATTCTTGTTCTTTTAAGACAAGGAAAACAGAAAACAGACAGTCTGTATGTAATCTAGACACACTCATTTATGCAGACACATACCTACCCACCGTGACTTATCCCCAAAGGTACCCGTTTTAAAAACACATTCAGAAGGGAAACCTCATTTTCCTTGCATTCATCCAACAGATATTGGCGAGCACCTCCTGTGTGCCGGGCACAGGGAGTGTTCAGTGGAAGAGAAGCATATGTCCCATCCTGACCGCTTCATTTCCCATGCCCCCCAACCCAAAGGCCACCATCGAGGCCAGTTTCTTTTGCTTCCCTTCAGGGATATTCTGTGCATAGCAGAAATATATTTGTGTGTGTGTACCTCACTATTTTTTTTTTTAAAAGATTTTATTTATTTATTTGACAGAGAGATAGACAGAAGAGCACAAGCAGAGGGAGCGGCAGAGGGAGAGGGAGAAGCAGGCTCTGCACTGAGCAGGGAGCTTGATGCGGGACTCGATCCCAGGACCCTGAGATCATGACCTGAGCGGAAGGCAGACGCTTAACCATCTGAGCCACCCAGGCGCCCTCACTATTTTTTTTTAATCCATGTGATAGCACACTATACATCTCACGCCTTGGAGAATATTCCAGATCGGTCTAGCTCACCTTTCTATCTTACTGTTGCATAGCATTACATTGGATGGTTGGATGGTTATTTTATGATGTCCCTGTTGCTGGACATATTTAAGTAATTCCTAGGGGTTACTTTTCTTCTCTTTGGGGACCTTGTCCTGCCTTACATTTCTTCTAATGCATCACCCCATTCCGTGTCGCTCCATCATTAATGGTTCTGGGAAGAGGGATGCCAACACCACCTTCCTGGACACCCTCACCCTTGTCCATACTTCCTGATAGATCCAGGCCAGCATGACAAGGTTACATTTATCCAGTAAGGCCCTATCTTTCACCCCACAGATTTCTTGTGATTACCCTGTAATTATTGATTACGAAGACAACTTATCAATGGTTCTACCCCCAGATCCACTTCTTTGAATTGCAGCAAACTTGAGAGTTGACTCCGTCTGGCAGACGTCATACATGGTACCTTGAACTGTCGCTGCAGGCTGCCCGGGCTGCTCACCGCTCAGTGTTCTCCCGCGCTGGGGCAGCCACGTACCCCAGCCAGAGCCAAAAGCTTCCCTCTGTTCCCAGATCACAGTGGCCTCCTTTTCCTTTGAATGACGGTGTTCTTCCTGTGTGATTTTATTTCCACTGTAACGTAAAAACTTTTGAAGATCAATCAAAGCACATTAACTTTAAATGCATCATAATTAGCTTGCTCCCTTTTGGATGGCTCTCTAAAGTATATCTAGTTTCATTTCTGGAAACCTTCACTGTCAGAAGGTTGCTTTCTTACACTTGGTCATAAAAAATAGGAAGCCCCTTCCCAACTTAAATCTTCAGAGGCTTTGAAGTGACCTTGACCACGGGTTGTTGCTTCAGCTGTACCTTCTGGTCTTTGTTATTTCTGGTCTTCTTCATGTTGACATCACCATTCTCTGCCTCTGAGGTTCAGTTTTTCCATTTCCAGTTGTTTCTTCTCTCTTCATTCCCCACTTTGCCCCTCTGTGGATGTCTGTTTTTTTCAAAAGCAGTTTCTTCTTCAGAGCTTGCTTGTTGCTCTGTGTTATCTTGTTCCCGAGCAGCATAATTTACTGTTCTCTCTTACTCCCTCAGATGGTTAGTCAGCGGGCCTCACCGATCCCCTTTATATTAAAGGGTTTTATCATGATGCTAACCCAGTTTCTTATTCTGGCAGTGAAATTAAATTGAAAAAAAATTTTTTTCTGGACATAGATCCTCTCCTTTTTTAATTTTAAAAACCTGGAAAAGTTAAAGTTTGCTTTTAAACTGTGGCCCCCTTCCTTTTTTTTTTTTAAGACAGTTTTCTAAGCTGAATCTGTAAATTCTTTATTTCAGCCGTGAATCACTTAATTACCACTTACGACTTCAACAAGTAATTATAATTATAATTATGACATTTCTGCCACATGCCCAACACTCTTCTAGACCCTGGAGACAGACTCTGCCCTCAAGAGATCCACTTCAGTGAGGGAAGGCAGTGGCCCATAATGTAATCTGGGAGATGGAGCCAGTGTGCTAGAGAAAATTACAATAGGAAAGGGGGTAGGGAGTTCAGAATGGGGGTAGTTTCAATTCAGGTGGTCAGAGAAGAGCTCCTTGGGAAGAAGCCATTTGACCAGACTTGAAGGAAACGCTGCAGCAAGTACCGGGGATTTATCTGGAGGAAGGAGGTGCGTCCTGGCAGTGAGCACAGCAAGTGCAGAGGCTAAGGAAGCAGGTGTGTGGCACCTGGAAGGAAGAGCAAAGAGGCCACCGTGACTGGAGGGTAGCCAACGGAGGAAGTCGGTCAGAGAGGTTCCCAGGAGCCGCATAGCATGAGGCCTTTCACGCCATTGCAAGGACTTTGGCTCCAGCTCTGAGATAAAGAGCCATTGGACAGTTTTGAGCAAATGAGTGAGGTAATGTGCCTTGTTCTGTGATGTAGTATTGTCACATGTTATTGAAGAGGATTTATGACTGATGAGGGACAAAGCAGCCTTTCTTCCAGTTCTTCTGTGCTTAGTTAGAGTATGAAGTGGATCTAAAGGACCCCATGTTTTCTCTCCTCTTCCTCCCTAATCAATTTGTTGTGTAGATGCCAAGACCATTATTATCACTAATGTAATTATTTAATAAGCCTTGTCTTCAAGCAACCAAGAGCTCTCAATAACATTAAGCTTTTTGTAAATTCAATCCTGATTTAACATATTTCTTTACAACTTACTTCAGTACTTCTTCCACAAAAGGAGAAGATAAGGCATAAAATGAAAGACATTTAAATTTAAAAGCCATAAATATAGAACCAGAAAATAAATCAAAGTATGTAGGAAGAAGAAGCCAATGTGGCAGACCCATTTGGGAGACTGTTGTGAGGTGATTGGCCTGTTTATTTACACATGAACTTCATGGAAACAAAGCTAAAAAGGATCCCAGCAGATCACACAATTATCCCAGCCTGAGTTTTTCCAGAACGTTGTCCTCATCTTTTCTCTTCTTACTCTAATGCAAGCTGCCACGTGAAATGTGTTTTTAACATACTTCTTCGTCACCAAAGAGTGATTACTTTCTAAAACAAGTTGGTCAGTATACATTTCACCCTTATTCCTACTGTCCTACTTATTTACGTGAGGAGTGTCATTTTTGCCAAAAGAAACAGCTTTCTGTTAAAATTGTTAGGTTTGATAACTGTAGACCTTAAAATCTAGGCTGATTTAAAAAATATTTTAATTGTCAGCTTCCAAAGGCAGAAACTGTGCCATTCATCTTTGTGTCCTTGGTATCCCCCGAGCAGCCCTTCGGTCCTTTATCCACAACTCTGAAATCTCAAAAGCTCAGAAAACAGAAAATCTTATCAAAAGTTGGATACCAAAACTCATTCAGAGGCAATACCTGAACCAAGTGAGACAATTTTAAAAAATCTTCCTTTGTCCCACTGTTTTGCGAATACTCATCTGTTTTACTACAGAAGTGGTAAGAGGTTTAATTTGGGTGCTCTGCAGACCCTGCTGGATGTTTCCATAACAGGTGGTTTATGCATCTTATTACTTTTCTAAAATTTAAAGTATAAATCGCAAAATACATCTGGCCCCGAAGGTTTTAGAAAGGGGATGTGGGACTGTCATAGCCAATCCCTAGAGTGGCGTGGGTATGAAGTTTGACTAAAGTGGGAGTGGGAATGAAGTTTGACTAAAATGAGGCACTTAGAAAAGGGGAGCTCTTCCACAGTCAGGCCTGATGACCTTGAGGTTTCGGGGGAATAAAAAAGATGATTCAGTTCTTAGAAGCGGTGCATTGAAATGTTGCCTTAGTTATTCTCTTAGAGTAGTTGTAATTGCTCTTTCGTTAACCTAATACATCCCAGGAGTAGGAAGTATTACTGTTATCAGTTAAAATTATTCCTATTAGTGTCCCAGCAGGTGCTTTTTATGTGATTCATGCATTTTTTATGTTGTCTCCGTATCTTATCATTTTGTATCATTTTGTTTTTCTTCAGCATTTTTTAAGGTGTCACATCAGCCTTTTTAATGCTGTGATTTAATTGCAAAAGCACACATAAACAGTTTGAAAGGTGTGAGAAGAAATTCACAAGTCAGGTGGGAAATAGCAACAAAGCTAGCATTCAGTCTGGAATTCCTTCCTCCACTGTGCAAAACAACCCACTGCTCGTGGGTCAAATGGTGTGTCCTGAAAGTGAGAGAGAAATGAGCTTGATACAAGAAACGCTTGTTTCATACTGAAGATACAGTGGGACATATGGATATGGATTAAATATAGGCTTTCCCCTCTCACAGCTTAATCGGGAAAACAAGACGTGTCCCTAAAATAAGTGAAATACACAGCAGAACATACCAGAGGAGAGTCTTTGCAGCGTGGGAGGTCAGGAAAGGAGATCAGGAACCGGAACTAGGTACATGGAGAAGGTGAACTTGTGGAAAACAGTTTGGGAAAGACAGAGGCCAGCTCTCGAGAAGCTCTGTGTTGAGTGGTGGGGACTCACAAACAGATAAATTATTACAGAAAATGGTCAGTGTTATCCTGGGGGCCTTGGAACCATAGCGGAGACTAATCAGCCCCTGGGAAGGTGGACAGGAGTAGACTTTAAGGCTGGGTCTTGAGGAACACAGGATTTCGCCCAGAAGGGCCGGGGTGGGCCTGGGAGTGCACTGCAGGTGAGTAAACTCTCCACAGTAGGACAGCAACACAAGAGTGACTTTTTATATTGTATTGTCATTGCAGGCGAATCACACATCCCTTCTGGAAAGATTCAGAGTGGGAAAGGTTTGCAGAGTAAGAGTCAGTTTAGGACCATTGCGCCAAAAATCGTGCCCAAAGTCCTAACGTCCAGACTGCTATCCTGCCATTCCCCGTCACTCCCCGAGCAGGTGAATCCAGGACCCTCCAGCAACACCAAGCCCCTGGGGGTGCCCGCCCAAAATTATGCTCTGATGCAGGTTGCTGGACAGGAGGGGACGTTTTCTCTCGTCGCCTTGCCACACGTAACCTCAGCTCAGCCAATCCAGAAGCCCAGACTGCCGCTGCCTGAAAACCTTAAACTGCCTATTCCCCGATACCAACCCCCGAGAAATAACAAAGGATCAAGAAAGAAACCCGTTCGGAGTTCCTCTGAGAGTGGCGGTGGCATACCTCCTGCCCAAACCCAAACGTCCCCCACCCCACCTGACCATCCCGAGGCCCCGCACAAAGCCGGCCCCTTGGAGCAGGCGCCGTCACGAGCCCAAGCCCCAGCCGACGTCAGCTCAGCGCCACCAGCCAACCAAGGTGGCCCCGGAGACTCTCCACCTCCGGTGGCCAGTGACCATGGAGATCCGAGCCCTCCTGCCGCCCCGACACCATCCACACCAGAGGAGCCCTCTGCCAAGCAGGACCTCGCAAGGACTTCGGGGAAAGCGAACTTGGCGACCAGGAAAACCTGCAGTAAGCCTTCTTCCGTTGCCGGTGGAAAACTGAAAGAACAAGTCGATCTTGCAAAAGCCATGACCATTTTATCACCAGCTGTTTTTGGCAACACAGTTCAGCTCATCTCTCCAGTCCCCAAAGGTAAACTGCCAATCCTCCCGTACGCTAGAATGAGAACAGCGGAGGTGTGCAAGGGTCCCTCGGGGGTTACCACCACAGATGGTTCTCTGCCTGGGCTCAGGGCCGTCTGTGATCAGACCTTCTCCATCACGGAAGGCTTTCAGGCAGCCACCAAAATGGTTGGCAAGACACCTGCACCACAGTCGTCAAAGCAGAGTCCCTGCGAGAGTGCTTTTTGTCCCGCCACCAGGCTGGATCTCAGCCACAAAGCAAAACTGAACAGCGGGGCGGCGAAGAGAAGAGTACGAAAACGAAAGGTACCGGAGGAAATGTTGGCATTTCAGGGGAAAAGGAGGAAGTGTATCATTAACAAGTGTAAAGAGAGTAAAGAAAGAGTGAAAACCGATCCCCAAGAACCCAGAGACCAAAAACCCGGGGCTCTGAAGAAATACCGCAGCATTATGCCCAAGCCTGTGATCGTGGTGCCCACTCTGGCTCCCGTGGCTTCTCCAGCAGGTGTGTTCCAGCCCCACACGCCCGGCGGCCTGGCACAGGACGTTCTGTTTGATGATTCACTCGCTCCCAAGTATCTGGGCTGGAGGCAGGATGGCGGCGCCTCTGCGAAGCCCAGCTCCGCGCTGCGGAATGGCTTACCGGGCGTCAAGGAGCCTTGGCACCGGTGCCGTGTCTGCAACCATCACTTCCAATTCAAACAGCATCTCCGAGACCACATGAACACACACACGGACAGACGGCCGTACAGCTGTCGGATCTGTCGCAAGGCGTACGTGCGGCCTGGCAGCCTGAGCACGCACATGAAACTCCAGCACGGTGAGAACCGTCTCAGGAAACTCGTGTGCTGCGAGTTTTGCGCCAAGGTGTTCGGCCACGTCAGAGTCTACTTCGGCCATCTAAAAGAAGTGCACCGGGTCGTCATCAGCACCGAGCCCTCCCCCGGGGAGCGGCCGCCAGGGGACCTGCCGAAGAACAGGGGCCTGAGCGCACGAGGGCCGGAGGGATCCGTGGAGAGGTGAGTGCTCATGGGACGGAGGCCCGGCAGGGAGGGCGCTTGGGATTTGGAGAAGAGGGCGAGGTGTCATATTCAGAAAGGTGACTGTGTAGAAACATCCCTCAAGTGAAGATTTCCTAAGGTAGCCGCCTCTTCCTCCTCGTTCTCTAAGGAGTCATCTCATTTCTCTTGGGTTTCCGAGCAGTGATGGTGTTTCATTACTCTCACCCCTGTAAGGCAGGTTCCAGGTCTGCTGGGGACAACAGAGTAAGGGAGGATTTTGGCATCTGAAATAAGAAGCAGTAAAGTGCTGCACATAGTTCCCGGTGCTCTCTACAAAGTAACTGTCCCCAAACTTTTGGCCACAGAATTTATATCTAAACACCATCCTTTGCCCCAGAATACAGTCTGACCCATGGTGGGGACTCTGCATGCCCCACACTGACTACACCCTCAGGTGCCCGGACCCAACCCTTTACATTTGCCCAGTTCTTCTGTCAGGCTGGATTAACGTTTCCCGGGTCACTGCTCCCCTGTGCGGGTCCTGGCTTCGGGTGTTAGGAACCAGCAGTCTGCGAGCCGTGGGTATGCAAGGGAGTGCCCCTCGGTTTGCCCACTTTCCACCGGATGACAGGGGGAGTTTCCCTGAAATCCGTTCTCATTCGCACCAGGAAAATTCAACATTGTCTAACTTTAGACGCTCTGCCCCTCATCATTCTTAATTGTCCTAATTGTTCCAGATACTTTATCCAGTTGTATCTTCCTCTGTCACATTCGTTGAAGTCAGGGTCACCCGTCCTATTTCTTCCCGGTTTTTCTATAGTTTCTCTGCTTTTCTTCGGGCATTCCTGTCCACTTGCAGACATCTGTGCCTTTCATTAACTCATATAGCGGCCTCCCTCAAGAAACCACCCCTTCTTCATAGTCTCCTGTGGTACATTTTGATTTTTAGGTACAATGTGCACACTGCTTTCTGTGCTCAAGGTTAGTGAGGAAGGGCAATAGTGTGGCCAAACCAGCAGGGTCCCTGCCATGCTTCACTTGCTGCTACCCGGCTCCTGAGTTGATGACACCTCGTTGGTCACCAAAGAGTAGTTAGCCCCCCTGGGGAGAGACAGGATGGGAGACACCCCTTCCCTCAGTGGACGCTGCGGGCTTGAGAACTGGGTGGTCTCAAGCAGGAGTGACGGCTGGTGTTACCTGTGGCTTCTGCTTCCCCGAGTGCTGTTTCCCCCGCCCCCCTGAACTTCTCCTCAGCGGGGGTGTTTTGGGTCCCTGAAGGCGAGTGTCCGAGAGGAAAAGCTCCGTCTGTGGTTTTTGTGAAATCTTCTATTGGCTTGTTTTCCCCCCTTTTCAGGGCAAACAAGTCGAGCCTGGAAGAAGACCTCCTCCTCACCCAGGCAGATGAAGTCAAGTTGCAAATCAAATGTGGCCGCTGTCAGATCACTGCTCAGTCTTTGGCTGAAATCAAGTTTCATTTACTTTACATCCACGGAGAGGAAATTCAGGGCCGGCTGCAAGAGGAGATCCTACCAGGAAGCAGAGGCACTCAGGAGGACCTGGTGAAACACGCTGCTCCTTTCTGGAAACAGCATCCTGAAAGAAGAAAGCTGCTTAACAAGCACGGCCCCCCTGATGAGGAGTTCCCCGCATTTCCCAAACTGAAAAGGCAGCTCTGCCTTCATCCCCAGAAGGATATGGAAATCCTCAGGAAGGCTGAAGGAGCCCAGGCAGGACCCAGCGAGGCGGGGGCGGGTCCCAGCCCCCACGCCCCCCAACTTCGGTCCCATTCAGGCTTTAACTGCGTCTTGTGCACACAGATCCTGCCAAGGAAGGAAGAACTCCTCCTGCACTGGGAGCAGCAACACAACTGTGAGGACCCTCCCAAGCTGTGGACGATTTTAAACACCCTCTCCCACCAGGGAGTGATCGGACTTTCTGGCAAAACTGAACAATGAAATACTGGGGTGGGAAGGGGGTTAAGGAGAGTGCTGCTTGCTTGCTTTCTCTTTCTCTCAAAGCTTTGTGTTCCTAGGGTGGTACCTAATTATAAAAGTCAAACAAGTTAGGAACAGCATTAATGAGCACAAGTGATTTTGTGCATAGTTTTATTTTCTTATGAAATACATATATATATATATGCCCTCGATGTATATTTTTCTAGCCACATGCAGTTTTATTTCAAAATTCTGTATACCAATTGTTAGTGTCCTAGACCTTGAGAATAAAAAGAAAGATGAAAATTTGGAGATTGAACTGTAAAAAATGAGAGGCTGTTCTTCAAATACTGTTTTCAGCGTGTCTGAGTGTGTGCATATATCATTTTGTTCAGCTGGTTTCTGTTTAAGTAGACCAACAAATGTGATACGTTTCCAGGTGGCAAAACCAGTTCAGTCTCCAGCGTAGTATAGTGTTGATATTTATCAGATTTGCTGGTGTAGTAGGAGAGGCTACAGAACAGTACATTTAATAAGGTTTGCGTCTACTGTAATTGAAAATCCATGTTTCCAGGACTTAGATTTTTTTTTGTAATTTTGCTATTTTCTTAAATGTACGTTGCCTTGAAGATCAGATGTTGGTTAAGTCTTACAGCTGTAGTGTTCCATATCAAAGTAATCAAAACTTTTTTAGTACTTCAGCTAATAAAAAAACACTTTTTTGGTTAAAAGTTCTTTCCAAATAGTCTTTCAGGCCAGGAAATTTACTATCTGGAAAGTGCACTAGGTGGTGCAGTCCAGATGGCGAGGTGTCTGAACGGCTCGCCCTCCCTCCCAAGGAACTTCACAGGGTTGTCGCTAGCTGATCAGCTTTCGATGCCACTGTGTCTTTCAAGCCCAGGGTTCACTTTGAAAGTCAAGAGTAAATGATTGCCTCTTAAATTCCTGGGCTATGACCTTGAATCAGAAAAGTTGCCATTTGGAGCTCCGGGCCATCCTTGGCTGCAAAATCATTTTCTTAGAACAGGGGAGTGTAAGCAGCCGTCCAACTGGAATTTCCGCCTTTGGGCAAAGGTGCTGCTCATGTGGCCTGCCCCGTTTGTCCAGAGCGCGGCCCATTTTTCCATGCTACAGCAAGTTGCCTAAGCAGGAGGAACGGAATTGGAATTGATAAGCTAGTGGGTCTTAAGTCATCTGTTTTTAATGTCTCGTTTTAAAAGCAAGTGTTCATAAGCATGATTTGGCTCGAATTGTCCAGAAAGGGAAAACTCAATCCTTGCCTTTTTGCAAATCATTTTATAAATTTGAGAATAGGAGGGTAAGGGTGGAAACCTCTGAAATATTTTGCCGTGGTTTACTGATCGATCACGCTCTACCCAGTTTAAAAGGGATCCTATCAGACCTTCACTGTTTGATACTTGTAGAACTGGGTTAGTAATGAAACTGCTTTACCATTCAGTGCAGCACCTAGTTTGTTTGGGGAAGATTGGTCTGGAGACACTTAAAAAGGAGATCAACCAAAAATCCTACTTGAATTCAAACCATGAATCAAAACTCTAATCCATAGACTCCTTGGTCCTCAGGTACTAAGTAGCAACGGGCTAGTTGGCTAAAGCACAGGAGCGGGTCTGGAATGTGGATGAGGAAGAGGTGTGGGGGCAGGGGGCACCCACCCGGCACGGAAAGGAAAGTCTGAGTCCCCGAGGTTGTGGAGACACCTGCCTACAGCCAGTGTTTAACCACAGATTCTTACAGCAAGGGCACAACACTAAGGGTATAGACGGCCTCTAAAAAGAAGGAGAGACTTAGGAATGGGGCACCAGCCCAGGTAGGGAGGTGTGACCGGCTCATGCTGATGTGCCTGGCTGGATCCCTGTCTCATCAGGGCTCTGAACCCTCGGTTTGGGGTGGGGTCGGCACTCATTTTTAAGAAAACTCTTGTTAGGAGAGGAGATGTGCAGTGCAGAGGGGCCTCACTGGATGCCTATGTGTGTGGGTTCATTTGGAATAGAATGTTCTAGTTCTCAGCTTCTAGAAACACTCCCCCGCATCATAGTAGGAATGGCCCCAGTGCCACCTAAGATAAGAGGCTTCTGGAGAGTAGCCCTTCTTCAGCAAGAAAGGCACGGAGAGGGACTCCTACTGATAGTAGGGAGGGGGGGCCCAGGAAGAAAAGAGAGTCCGCCAGCTAAAGTGACTCGGAACAGCTCAGATTGATGAGCCAGTGGGTCTTCATTGATAAGCCTTCCTTGGGCACAGGCGTGTTACTGGCTCAGTCCCAACCTACGTCCTTGACCCAAAGGTGGGAAGGTGTAGAAATGTGCTGCTCCCTCCATGTGACCGTGAGCGGTGACCTGTCCAAGGCTCCATCCCCTCACCTGTAGAATGGAAGGGATGCTCCTGCCTCAAGGCACTGTGGTGAAGGGCCAAGGAGACCCAAAGGAAACTTCTGGCACACTTGGGCCTCGTAGGAACCAGGGGCTGATACCCATTATGCTTCTGGCCAGCCTTGGAGAAGAGGTATGTTGCACCATAGAAAGACCATTTCAAACAGCTCAGGTAGGCTTCAGGTCCAGAATTCAAAAATGAAAACTCAGAACCATAGAAATGTGCATCTTCGCATAAAATGTGTATTTTATTTTTTCAGTAATCAAGCTGGGATCTGGATTGCATGGAGGCTCGCCGAGGATTTACTTGATACAGAAAGCAGAATTCACGAAGTCATTTTCATTCTAGGCTCCACTCTGGGCCTCGTATGTCTCCCCGTGGCTGCCCCTCCCTGGCCCTGATCTAGCTGGCACCACCAGGGTCTTGAACTTGACAGTGGACTTGTCCATTTCCAGCGCCAGACCATAAGCCTCTTGAAGGCAGGGATTGTCTCTGTTCAGCATGTAGCCCCAAAGGGCCCAGCACCTGACATTAGAATAATGTACAATCAATATTTGTTGGAAAAAAAGCGGATACATTAGCTAAATACAAACAGAACTGCCACTTGCCTTTTCATGAATAAAGCCAGCTTTAGGAGCAACCGAACTCACAGCTGGGAGGGCATAGAGGCAAATTCGGTCTTAAATTAAGCACACTCATTTTGCTTAATGTCTTTTGCTTCTTGGAAAATTGTCCCAGAGCCAGCAAAACGAGACTTTTTTCTTTTCTTTTGGCCCTAAATTATTTCTGAAGGTTACAGCATTTTAGATTTGTATTGTTTTATTAGCTGTCATTTTTATTCATGCCCTCCTTTGTTTCGCTCTCTTTCTCTGGACCTCTTCCTGGTTTAGCTTGACGGAGCCTCCGCTAAGCTGTTCCTCATATGGAAAGTTGTCTCTTCATCAGCACGCCATAAATAATCAAACCTGGGTGCGTTCCATTACCTTCTCTGGCTCCACACTCCCGCCTCCCAGCTGCACAGCTTCAGCTTTCTGTGGCCCCAGTGACATGATTGTTGGCAATAAATGCTCAACTTCATTTATTTATTAGAATTCTCAGATCTGGACTGGTTTGCTCCATTCAAGCTGCTGACATGCTTTGTTAGGTACATATTTTATGGAGTCTCCTTCTTTCACTGAGCTCCTGAGAAACTGCCCCAGTAAAGATGAACTGGGGTTTAACAGAACAGGCTTTTAGCTTCAACTGTACACTGACTTGCCTGACATTAGACAATCAGCAGCTTGTCTAGGCTTGTGGTGCAATCCAGTAGATACTTCAACTATATCCACCTCTTCGGGAATGTTCCTTTCGAGGTGAAATGTTTATCGTATCTCCTATTTGGTCATGGTCGTGGTTATCCCCACCATAAAACTACAGCCACAGTTTTGTGAGCACGTTTTAAAGTTGGGTTCAGTATGCAGACGTTAGCTTAGTGGTTCATCATATTTTCCATACTCTGGAGTGAGAAAATGTTTCAACGTGTTGCCTAAGCCTAGGAAAAAATCGCTATCTATGGAAGGAAACCAAATGGGACAACTAAAGAGAAGTAAAGATCTGTTCTAATTTTGATGTGAAGGTAATCAGGATTTTTTCTATCTGTATGAAGCTTGCTCCCATCTTCAGAACTGCCCCCCACCCCTTGGTTAGCTTAGCAGCAAAGACTTCACCTATAATAGGATGGCTATATCTCCTCTTTCAGTAGGTTCCAAAAACAAAATCACAAGCAATTAGCATGATAGATCATTTCTGACAAGCCAAACAGCCACTAAGCACTATACAAAAAAAATTAAAAGATTTCCCCTTCTATCATTAAATACGGATTTAATCTCCAACTCGGAGTTGTAAAGAGACCACCAGATCTTCTAGAGGCTTTTGCAGAAACAGCAATGAACCTGATCTGACTACTGCCTGAGTTGCAATGCAGATCTAAGTACAAAAATTTGGCCATGGACGAGATCCAGGTGGTTCAAACATATGAGCTGCATAACCATCCCAAAGCTCTGGCTATATCTGGAAGCAATATTTCAGAATATGTTCTTAGGACACTAAAACACTGCCTTTTCCTAGTGTAATCTAAATTAAAGCACACTTCAGTTTTTCATAAGACATTCATAGAGCCAAGGCTTTTGAACAACGGTTACACCCAAGGAAAGTTAAAATATCCAAGAAGACAAAGGCTTTTGAATGGTGTTTATTCTTTCTTGAACTAAAGGGTGGGGTGAGGTGGGTAGAGCAAGAGGGTAGTAGTCCTGGGTCAGGATGTGGCGAGAGGAGCTTTTTTTTTTTTAAAGATTTTTTTTTTTTTAATTTGAGAGAGAGAGAGAGCACAAGACGGGGGAGTGGGAGAGGGAGAAGCAGACTCCCCGCCAAACAGGGAGCCCGATGCAGGACTCGATCCTGGGACTCCAGGATCATGACCTGAGCCGAAGGCAGTTGCTTAACCAACTGAGCCACCCAGGCGCCCCACGAGAGGAGCTTTTTGATCATGAAAAGCCCCAATGGGGCGATACCAGGGTAGCAGGGCTCCTGGATCCAGTGTCCACACAGGAAAATGCCAGTAATATTTTGGTACAGTCACAGTGGAGCGAATGAAATTGGACACATAGCAGAATCTAAACTGCACAGACTTCTTGATCCAGGAACTCCAGTTCTGGGAATACATCCTCTTGATATCAGTGCACATGTGCACAGTTGGATGTGTGAGGATGTTCATGGCAGCACAGTTGATAACCCGTGGAAAACTTACACAACTTACGTGTCCATCCGATCTGGTTAAAAAACATTACAGCATACCGTATGATGGAACACTGCGCTAGAGTGTAGAAGACTGAAGTAGCTCTTTGCGAGTTGGAATAGGTCATGTGTGAAGGCAGCAAGGTACAGAACAATGTA